CTTTTGTTTCCGGCAGATAATTAATGCATAAACAAACAGAGAATTTTACAATTAAAATGTTAAAATGCTATACGTGGAAATTGCCAAATGGATTTAAAAGGGTGAATTTTATTAGGAAATATTAAATCTGAATATTTAATGAAACAACAAATGTTTAAATTTAAAAAAAATAATAATAGAGTACCCTGAGCAAAGCATGCAAATTTGAAGCAAGAAAGTAAAGTATGTAGCAAATAATATCAATCCTATAAAATTCTACTGTTCTGTATTATTGCAATAAATAATTTTTGCTCATAAATTTGTACGATTTATACCATTTTTGACTTTTGAAAAAATTATGAAAGCAAACAACTGAACTTTGCCATCGAATAATTCAACTTCATATAAGACTTTAAAACATTTTTTCTTTCTATTTTTAATGAACTTTAATTCTTGTGCGAGTGGAAAGATTTAAATAGTTATGCAACCCGCGCCAACGGGTCGAAAAGCAGGTTGCCTACTCGTGTTTCCGAGCCCAAAGTTTGGAGCTGCTTTTTCAGCTCTTCCGCACTCGCCGCACCGATTTGAAGCTGCGTGACCCGCCGAACGTTTTAACGATCCATTCAAACACATTATCCGGTCCACCATTTTAATATTCAATGGCGCTGGGTGGAAAAGAGGAGAGAGAGGAGAGCAGGCCCCGTTCTTTATTTATAGGCAGTCTGTGCGAGTGACGTTCCATTGTTTCAATGGTCTTAGGGGCTATTTATTCCGAAGTTGGTTAACTACCGACCAGAGAAGAGAACGAGCCCCGGAATATAATAGAATTTCATGCCTTTGGCTGCTGGCGTGTTGCAGCGCCGGCAGTTTCGTTATGTATGGGTGCCATCTCGGCTGTTTGGCCCTCGCGCCGCGCATTGTCATTTAAAGCGAGGCCGAGTTTGGAAGAAGTAACTGACAAACTAACTTGGCAATAAGAGGCTCCGATTCAAGTTAAATGAGGACCAAAGTCTAGTTCTCTCGCCTATGGGCTGCGAACCGGCAATTTAGCCGCACACCCAGCAAAGTAGAGAGACCGTCCAAGCAGACAATGAGAGCGAACCGTCTCTCCTCTCACACAAGAATGAAAATGAATGAATGCGCCAGACTGCTGAGCTGCGGTGCCACAAAAGGAATTCCTGCCTCGGCTTAAAATAATTGTGCCTGCGCAAGTTGTAATTGCCACCTGGTTTTAAAACTAATGCTTGCATTCCACACTGTGCATTTCCATTGCGATATTCAGCAAAATATAACACTCCAAAATTCCAAATTATTCATGGTTTTGGAAAATGTTTGATACTTTTATTTAAATTTTCACAAAAAGCAAATTTGTTGCAATGTTATGAAATTTTCAAATTAGATATGACTGGAGAAATTATACATTTTTATTTAATTGTAAGGCAAATAGTCAGAACATTATTTAAACAGAGAAAAAAAATGGTATTTTTGATTTAACATTAATTAAATAGAGCAACTTTGTATAAATTATTTTGGTTTTATACCCTTTAACAAATACAAAAGATAATTTTTAATTTTTAACTGGTTGCAACAATTCCAGAAAGAAAATTTGCTTTAAAACATTAAAAATACCCTTTTCAATTAATTAAATCAAACAAGAAATTATTTACATAATGTCAATGAAATTAATAAATTCTCATTATTATACACAAATTATTTATATTTCAAATTCCATTTTTTTCCAGATCGTTACTTACACTTTACATTAAATTAAGGTATGCGTAGCCTTGATTTAATTTTGAATGAAAGTGCCCGTGGCAGCAACAAGGCAATTTGCTTTGCCGCGAGCTCGACAAACTCTCACTCTCTCGCCTACTTTCCTCTCTTTTTCTTATAAACGCCGCCGCCTTCACCAACATCTTCGTCTTCTTCTCTTTTTGCTCTAATTGACGCCGCCGTTAAGAGGCGCTGATGACGTAATCGCATTAAAAATTCTCTCGCGCCACAAAACGTGCAAGAGAGAGAGGAACGCGCGCGCCGAAATGAAGACAATAAGGCGAAAAAGTTTTGTCTTCCGCGTTGTCGGAGGTCGCGGATCCTTTTATACATTTTTCAGCGCGCCGCCGCCGCGCGCACTCTTTCACTCCACTTTCTCCTCTCGTAACGTCATTAAAAGTTCAGCAGGTTTTGCTTTAAAAATACGTTACGTTTCTCCAGATCTCGCGTGTGTATAAAATTTGAGAGGAGAAGAAAGACGTTGCGCGTCTCGAGACCGTTTTCGAGGCAAATAAAAATTTCAATTTGTCAAAAAACAAGGCACGAGATGGAGCGTGATTGACGCTCTGAATTGGGGTGTTGCAGGATGACGACAACATGCTTCTTCATTTCGGCAAATTAAATCTTTGCAGGGAGAAAATGAGAAAAGAAAACAAATGATGCTTGTCACGTGGCACAGGCCGGATCAAATTGGCTTTGTTACATAGGCAAGGAAATCCCAGAGGAGGTTGCGGAATTTTCATAGAATAGAAAAATAAGCTTTGAAAAAAAAAACTGCTAAATTTCTCAATGAATAATTTCCCACACAAAATTATAAATTTAATTTACCAAAACAAAGGTAAAAAACTGATGATTTTATTTCAACTGAATAAGATGGTATAAGTTTTTCTTAGTCTGGAGACTGAATTTTAATTAAACATAATAATTTTTTTTTATTTGATCAATAAGGAGTACATTTTTGTGATTCAAGAAATTTATTACTTTAATTGTAATTTAATAGTAGAGCACTAAGTTGAACATCAATCCAATGTCAATGCTGTTGATAATTTAGTTACTTGCAGCAAGTACCAAATATAATATTACAATAACCAATAACTAATTTTAATGAATGATAATTTTTAGAATGCAATATATGCTATAAATCTTAATAATTGTTAGTTTACAGAATATAAGTAAAAATAATCAAAATATATGTATAATTAACTTAATTTATTACATAAATATAAATGTTCAATAAATCCAAAATTATAGTTTTAATAATAAAATAAATGTTATTTTACGTGCAAAGCATCTAAATTTTAATAGATTATGCCTTTTCTTCTGTTTTTTTTTTTGGAAAATTAAAATTTGTGATTTCTGCAAGTAATACGTTTTCTACTCTCGTAATTAATATTCAAACGGGTGATTTTTCTGCAAACTCGAGGAGGAGAGCGTCGTGCGCGGGCATAAATTCGTGAAAAGAGGCTAATATGGATATGCATGCGCGGCGTCGTCGAGTCCAAATCAAGTGCGCTTGACGGAAAAAGCTGCACGACAAAACGCCACCGTCGCACACAGGGTGTATATGTATATTTTACATACACGGTCTCACACAATAAAATGGAAATAAGTTGAAATTTCGCCGTACAGGCAAGGGGCGTTTTGCTGTTTGACTGCAAATAAAGAAAGGATTGAGCCGGCGGAGAGAGCGCGAGCGACTTTAATTGGATTCAAAGGCAAGCAGAGCGTGCGAAGAAACAGCGCAGCTCCATGTCTCATTACAGCAGCCACTCAGGCAGAAGCTGATTTAACGCGAAAATTGATGCTTTTCAAATTAAGTAATAATCGTCGGCGTCTGCTCCGCTGGTGATATATAAATGTATGCCAGTTTAATTAAAATGAGCAAACTCGGCGTCTCTCTCTCTGCAGCTCGCGGGCATTCTTCGGCGTAATTATTTTGCCCCAACGTTTACATTGAAAACATAAACACGCCCGTAAATAAACTGCCGCGACGCGTCTTTCTGAAAAGAAAAATTGTTAATTTCGCGTGCGTCGAGGATTTCCTGCCCAATGCACCGTGAATGTATTAAATTTATGTCATGTTTTTATTCAAATTCACACACTCGGTTGGCGCCGATGAATAGGAATTGAATAAAAAAAAAATTAGTAACAAAACCTCGGTGAAATAAAACCGAATGAGAGTGACCAAAATATTGTCTAACACGCGTTTAGCAGCTCATATTTCATTTCAATTTCCAAGGGAATGAATAAGGATGTAAAAAATGTCCAAAAACTTAAATTAAATATTATTATTGTAAAAGAAAATTATTATATTTATCTGAAATTTCAAACAGCTTGAAATTTTTGGTTAAATATTCTTAAAATTTTATTTTAAATTATAAAATTTATTAAAAATTCATCTTTTTGGAAGCCTCCTTGGCTTCCTTTTGATGCAAACGGTGTCATCCCCTCGTGTATGAGTGTTGAAAAGGGGTGTAATACAGGTTTGTATCAGCTTGCACGGTGACCTCAAAGGTCACTTCGGCGAGCGGGCGTTTAGTAGCGATTAGGGTCAGTCCTACACCTGGTCACACGTGCTGCTTCCGCTGGCCGGCCGCCACCCTCGCCGTCACATATAGGGGTGCGTGCTTGCAACAAACAGGGGTTGGTTGGCCGGCAGTGTCCGCCAATAAAAGCAGCTCGGCACTAGACACGCTGGCGATTTCAACACCACACGTTGCCCCTTCATGACGCCTTTCAAGTAGTTCTTACAAAAATTATTGACAAACTTAAAAATTATTTTGTTTATCTTATTAAATATAAATTTGTTTCATCAATTTTATTTTTAAAAAATTTTTTAATTATTTTTATTTCTTTACAATAGATTTTAAAATTAAATTTTGTATTATGTTTTTAAGGTTCATTATCTACATCGCACGGTATCATGGATTTTTAACCTTTATTACCAATGTATAAATTATTAAATAATGTGTCCCAAATCAATTTGTCTGGTAATTTTTGGAAGCTTAATTATTAGAAGAGCAGCGTGCTTTTGAGTATTTTTTTTAATTTTGACATACACTGGAGCGGCATGAATAAAATAAATTAAAATCATAAAAATATTATATAAAGTTAGGCATTTTGGAGATATCTTAACAAAAATAAAAAAATAATAATAATATCTGACCTATAATATTTACTTCAGATTACATATTATCACAGATGGATTTTAATTAAAGTTATATAATAATTTATTGTTTGTGTTTCAGGCGGTGATTGGTAAATTGGGCAAACGGAGGCCTGCCCTGGATCATTTTCCCCTCTCTCCACTTAATCAAAAGGTAAGCACCAAATTTTTCTTTCAATATTTTTATCATTTTTTTTCTTTCTAATTTTAAAGTGAAATTACAAAGTTTGCCACGAAAACCCCCGGACTAATTCTGAAAGTTTTGGTCCTTTGTCCTCAAAGTTTCACCCCTTGTGCTGCCGCTCATCTCTCTCGTATGGCTTTTCTTTACAAATTTAACCCTCATAACAAAACAACAATATTTCATCTCACCATACGCTGAGGGGTCGCATGTACCGCGTTTTTGCTCTTTGACGTCTTCGAAGAGAGCTCGAACGAATCCCTACTCACTTTTCACTCTGCTGGTGAATCGCCGAGAGTTCTGCTCATGTGTGCATGTGAGTTTTGATAAAAGAGAGAGACTCGAAGGCCGCGCCATTAGTTGGTTCTTGATGTCGCCTGCACCGTGCAGCCTTCAACTTATCAGTTTCAAACAAAGGCCTGCTTATTCTCAACGGCCTCTGTTTTGTTGTCGTCGTCGTCATAGCCGTCGAGCTGAAATTAATTGAGAGAAACCCTTTCTTATTCATCGTGATCGGGTTTCTCTCCAACACGCTCTCCGCATCCACAAGAGAGAGAATCACACACATGCTCCTTACACATTTAGAATTTTCAACCATTTCTCCTCGTGTATTCGCAGCTGTGCAAATTAATCAGTATGATCAAGTCCGTAGAAAATAAAAATGATAGAAATTTTAAAATATAACAAATTGGTGATTTGAATTCAAATTAAGTCTTGGCTTTTCCTCGATGGGTTTTGTGTGACGTTTATTGTTGAAAAAAATATCCTGCTCTATACATGTTTTGGCTGCGGGCTGAAGCTGTGAAATTTTGACAATAATTAGTAAAAAGTCGGTATTAAAAAAAAAACATTTTCCCATCAAATTAATGATTTTTCAGGAAAAAAATATAATTTCATGGAAAATATTTTTTAAATAACACTGATTTTTTTACTTATTCTTGTCGATATCATTTTGTAGAGCAGGTAATTTTTTTAAACAATAAACAAATCACAAAACCCCATCAAGGATAAGCTGACTTTTAATTCAAAACATTATGGACCAACTCTCGACTGTGAACTTCTATGCTACAATTTTTTAATTTATTATTATTTTATTTTCAAAGGTTCCTGCCCTTAACGCCATTATATAAATGTAACTAGTGAAAGGTATTTGAACCTAAGAAACGTACTGTTCTAATAAATTTAACTTAGAAATTATATAATTGCTTTATTGCATATTTTTGGGAAAATAGTCCAGTAAAATTCAATTCAAGAATTATTTCCTGAAAACTAATTTGCTTTTAAAAATTCAACCAAAATTCATTAGTTCTCTTCAAAATATTCAATTTTTCTATTGAAAATAAACTAAATTTGATCTTTTGAAACGATTTGCAGGGTCAAAAGTATCACTCGGGCTCAAACGCAATTATTGCTGAAATTATTTTTCATTTCTGAAAACATTTCTTATTTATTCTCCCCAAATGTTTTTCCCTGTTTGTTTGAAACGAACAGTTTCATGTTTTTATTTTTCAATTTTCCAACAGGTTGAAGAAGTATTATCATTGATTATCAAATGCTATTTTTATATTTCATAAGAATAATTTTATTTATCGCTTTGCAATCTTTCCTCCTCTCTTCGAATCAAATCCAAGGCGACGAGCGTGGGCGCTCTGCTTCCATGGGCGCGCGTTGATGGTCTCTCCATTTTTGCGCCCCGGCGGGCCTAGCTGCTCTTTCACCACCGCCACACTGTCAGTGCGTTTTATTTTCCACGAGCACCGCTCCGGCGTGCTGTAATGTTATTTTTATTCCCCTCAGACAGGCGTGCAAAAAATGAATGATGGCGAGAAGAGAGAGAAAGAAAGAAAGAAAGTGAAAGATTGATTGATTTTCGCGGGAGAGAGAAAAACGCTCTCTGCCCTTTGACGTGTGCGAGGGTGGAGCCACTCTTTTTTCCTTTTTCAAAAATAATAGTGGTGCACGAAAGGGCACGAGGGCTGCATTGGCTCTCGATAAATCTATGCAGGCGACCAATGGCGCTGCAGGTTTCAAATCCTCTCAGGAATATACAAACTCGCATGCGAGAGATGCTCTCGCAAACCCCTTTGTTGTTATCTCGGATGGCGCAGGTTACTTGATACTCTTATGAATTCGAAGCAGCGCTAATTTTTAGCGCGAAATGATGTGCAGAGAGGGATTTTAATCCCACTCTCGCTGTTTCTGCTTGACGAGCTCTAGCTCTTTGGCTTTTAGGTGTGCGCGCGGGTTATAGTTGGTGGCTCGGCGTGCGTGTACGGCGAGATCAGGATTTCTCATTTCAAGTAATTATTATGCATCAGTTAAATTAAAATGCTCGCACGTACATGGGGGATGCTTGCTCTTGGAGAGAGGTTAATATTCATAATGGAGCTAGGGCCGTTGCCCCGCGCAATAAAGCCGATTGTTTATATTCCCTAGTTGAGGAGTTGTTCTGGCTATTGTTTCTGACTTGGCAGTATTGGAAACTTATAATAGTTTGTCTAATTATAGTTAAAAAAATTATTTTGAAAAAAAAACTACAGAAAAATTTTCTTTTTGAGCAAATTGAAAATTAGTTTTTCTGAAAAGGAAGGTTTGAAGATATTTTGGAGGAAGATTATTTTAACGACTGTCTCAAAAAACGGCCAGATTTATCAATAAGGGCTAAAAATCTCACACTCTGCATTAAAAAATGCCGTGATAATTATGGAATAGAGAAATAACCACCATTTTATAAAAGATCAAATTTCACTCCAGAGAGTAAAACAATCGGAAACAATCGAACAGTCCGATTTGACTACATCGAAGATCAAAATCTTCACCTTTAAGCTGAAAATACCGTAAGAATTAAAATATAAAATTTTTCAAACAATAAGAACTTTCTTTCGGACAAATATGTGATTTCTAAACAAAAACAATTAACAGGCAGCAAATTTGAGCCGCATATGTCTCTGTCGTTAAGGTCACTAAAATTCCCTTCTTTATTATTAGTTTAGCGCTATAATTTTGCTATTTCCATGGTGAGTAAACACCCTGAACTTTATACAGCTGTAGTTGAATTATATTTATTTTCCTTTTTTTTATATTTAAACTAGAAAATTAGCTTAAAAAATGAAAGAGCTGCCTTAACAATTAATTTCCCACTACGCAAGCCGAGTTTATTGCTTCACTCTTATTTAGGGCAAATCCTTTTTATTTTTAAACATAACTTACAATCAATTTAGAAAGTAATCATCATTGTCAGTTTGTTTTTTAATAAAATAAAACAAGTTCAAAATCCGGTTCAGCCTGATTTCTCACTTCCACAAGTCTCCACAAAAACAATTTATATTCATTTCAGTTCTTTTCATAGCATGGTGAATTTTTTCAGGTTCATATTATAATAATACACAATGACAGAGCATATACTTTAATAATAAATTATTAATTGTTATCATTCACTTCGGTCTCAATTAAGAAAATATGAATATGTTTAAGGAATTTGTTTAGAAAGAAAAACTAAAGGATACAGTAAGGATGATCAAAAAATAAAGCTTTTTATATATTTTATTTCTACATACAAAGATTTTAATTTTTATGAAAATGCATTATTTAGAGGACAAATTTGTACAACCTTGATGCAGAAATGTGAAAGAAATAATCCAGGAATTTAGCGAAATGTGCAGAGCAGGTCAAAGAGAGCTCTGGTGTGGCGTTTGCCTTCGTCTCCCTCGCCCTTTTTATCCCTTTTACGCCTTGGGTCGCAGGCAAGCAGCAATGAAACTAGTTTAATTTCCAGGCCATTGTCATTTGCTCTCTCTGGTGCGGGTCGCGCTGCACACACACGTGAAACGAGTGGAATTCTCATCAACTCTTTAATAGACGCCGCCGGAGCGCCGTAAAAGCCGCCGTAAAGAACACGCTGCCTGCCGGACACCTAAAAATGCAATTCCGGGACCCTCGGTTTGCTCGGCGGGACGAAACGAAAGTCTCGCAATTAAACGCGCCGACCCCTGCGCCATTGGCCACTCGGGCGTCCGATCGCGACCCTCCCCGGAAATATAAACTGCACCCTCTCTTTGGAAGAGAGCGAAGCCGCCCCCGAAACGCTATACATATCATTTCCCGAGCAAAAATTTATTACTGCTGGAAGCTTCTTATTTCACTTATATAAGTCACAATTTAATTTAGTTATGCAGAATTTATGGCGGCGGCGGCAAAAGAGCTTAGCGTCGTCGAGTGCTATGTGTTTGCCCGGCGTTTTCTTGCTTGCTTTTGAGAATTCCGCGCGTTCACCCTCGCTTTGAAACGAAACGCGCCGCGAAACCTCTGCCCTTTCCGAGAAGAGTTTTAAATTAAACGAGAGGTAAACGCTCTCTTAATAATGTGACAAAACATTTGTTTTATTAAGACAGTGGACTTAATATTTGCAAGAAATTAAGCCTGGAGAGTTAAGAACAATAATTAATGTATGCTTACAATTAGAATCGATGATATTCAATGTAAGAAATTGATTAATGTACGCAAAAATTGATTTCTATAATTTTTTATATATAAAAATTCAGAACAATGAAAACTTAAGCGGAAGCAAACAGCTGATAAATCTGCTGTGGAAAAAAAACGTTTTCATTGTTTTAATAGTAAACGCACCAAATTAATAAGGTGTATATTTTGGTATGTCACTTTTTTACAAAAAAAATAAATTGAAAGAAAAGCGTGATAGTTTGTAAGGAAACATTGAATTGTTGGGCAAAAAGGATCCACCAAAATAGCAAAGAATTAGCTAAAACTTCCAATTATTTAGAGATCAAAAAGCCTTGACCCACCGCAGTGAATAATAATGAAAGAAAAAAAATCTGTTTTTAAAAATTATTGCTGTGATGCTGTAATTTTATTTATTCAACTTGTATAAGCAATATTTTCAGCACGTCCATAATTTGCTTTTTATAATCAAAATGTTCATAGTTTTGAAGACAAAAAAAATCTGGAAAAATAAC